CAGTATTTCTGTGACAATTTATTTTCTGTGCTTTGGCATTCGCTTTTCAACAAATCGAAAAACTATTAAATTGGGCTGAAAGCCAGCAAACGAACGCCAAAGGACTGGAAGAACAAACAACCAAAAAAGAAATGAGCCAAGGAATCGTTTATTTCCACAAAATGTAGAAAATCGTATGCCCTATTTGTGAGGTAATTGGAAATGAATAGTGGTTAACCAACTGAATAGGAAACTGAAATAATGATTCGTTGCAAATAGATTGGCGATGAATCTTCACATGGATGGAATAGGAAAAATGGAAAAAAAATCTATCCGCTTAGATTATTTCCTATAGGAAAAAGATTTTTTTCTTTCCTATATAGGACCCTATAGCGGAACGGTAGGAAATCGATCCAGAAGTCGTTTAAGGTACTCCGCATGAGAATCGGATGAGAATTATGGAAGATATGGCCATCACTGTGGACCCTATAGGGGAAAACCCCATTTTCAAGGGGTCCCATCACGAAAAATAGACAAAATATCTAAAATATATTTTTTTTCAGGTTTTTAATGCAGAATGGTGGAGAATCAATCCAGAAATCGTTTAAGGTACTCCGCTTGAGAATCGGATAAGAATTGGGGAAGATATAGCCATCCCAGTGGGCCCTATAGGGAAAAACCCCATTTTCAGGGGTCCCATCAGGAAAAATGGACAAAAAATCTAAAAAATATTTTGTCTCAGGATTTTGATGCAGAATGGTGGAGAATCGATCTAGAAATCGTTTAAAATACTCCGCTTGGGAATCGGATGAGAATTATGGAAGATATGGCCATCACTGTGGACCCTATAGGGGAAAACCCCATTTTCAAGGGGTCCCATCACGAAAAATGGACAAAAAACCTAAAAAAATATTTTGTGTCAGGATTTTGATGCAGAATGGTGGAGAATCGATCCAGAAATCGTTTAAGGTATTCCGCTGGAGAATCGGATGAGAATTATGGAAGATATGGCCATCACTGTGGACCCTATAGGGGAAAACCCCATTTTCAAGGGGTCCCATCACGAAAAATAGACAAAATAACTAAAAAATATTTTTTTTCAGGATTTTGATGCAGAATGGTGGAGAATCGATCCAGAAATCGTTTAAGGTATTCTGCTGGAGAATCGGATGAGAATTATGGAAGATATGGCCTTCACTATGGACCCTACAGGGGAAAACCCCATTTTCAAGGGGTCCCATCACGAAAAATGGACAAAAAATCTAAAAAATATTTTGTCTCAGGATTTTGATGCAGAATGGTGGAGAATCGATCCAGAAATCGTTTAAGGTATTCCGCTGGAGAATCGGATGAGAATTATGGAAGATATGGCCATCACTGTGGACCCTATAGGGGAAAACCCCATTTTCAAGGGGTCCCATCACGAAAAATGGGGAAAAATCTAAAAAATATTTTGTCTCAGGATTTTGATGCAGAATGGTGAAGAATCGATCCAGAAATCGTTTAAGGTACTCCGCTTGAGAATCGGATAAGAATTATGGAAGATATGGCCATCACTGTCGACCCTATAGGGGAAAACCCCATCACGAAAAATGGGGAAAAATCTAAAAAATATTTTGTCTCAGGATTTTGATGCAGAATGGTGAAGAATCGATCCAGAAATCGTTTAAGGTATTCCGCTGCAGAATCGGAAGAGAATTGGGAAAGATATGGCCATCACTGTGGACCCTATAGGGGAAAACCCCATTTTCAATGGATCCCATTGATTTCGCGTTGCTTTAAGAAATTATCTTTTTTAAAACGTAAGTGGGAACCAACTAAAGCGGATAGCTAAGTAGCTTTCCCTGACGCGTGGATAAGAGTATTCGAAAGCTAGAGCTCTGGTCCTTTTTTGTAATAGTATGTCCGACTTACACTCGAAGAGATTTCGCTTTGTTGACAGTCACGCGACTTCCATGCTTTGGCACATTTGATTTGGCTGCAACTTTTCACCTCGCAAGCAGAGGAACTGCGACGACATCAAGTTAATTGGATGTGCGGGTGGATGGAGGACTTTGAGCTTAAAAGGGGGTCAAAGCAGAGGGCTGGAGGACTGAAGGTCTGGAGGGCTGCAGGGCTGATGACAAGTGTGGCCAAGGCAACGAAGCCCATAAAGCAGGCGATTAGAATCTCAGCCAGCCTTGTGGACACACAAACCCACTCACGTGGCATTCAACAATTTTGAGGCAAGCAAACAGACATTAACACGTGGCCGCAGCTATCTCTGGGATCTGTGTATCTATCTAAAAATCGTACCGGATCTCGGAATCCGTGAATCTGTGAGCATGTTGATACTTGGCACCTCTTCAAAACAAATATCTACCATCCGGCGAATTCAAAAGGGGCAGAGGAAAGGACAGCCGCAGTAACAGCACTTTTCAGAGTGACACTAAACTAATTAAAAGTTTGTCCGATCCCGACTCCGACTCTGGTCGGATTTTCGGGTTCGGGGTTAGCCTCGTCCATATGGACTAGGGCTACGGGTTATTGGCATAAATTACGCATTGAAATCACGTAAGTGACAGAGGCAAAATTTAATCAGCCCGGGCCGGAGCCAGTGCGGCTGCTAAGGAAGAATTAAATTTAGCTACATAACCAAATCAAAAAAGGGACCACTCACTCGCACACTTGAACATTTTCCCTGGCAGTGTACACACCTAGTATACGTGTAGTATAGTCCGTACACGGGGCACGGACAATTTCCCCCTGCGTACGGAGGCACAAAAAATTTGCACACAAACTACGTGACTTCAATTCCTCAGAACGGCTCAACAAGGAAAAAAAAAAAGGAAAACAGAAAGAGTAGGAAAATATTCTGTGTGAGAGTGTGTATCTATGTGGTTAGCTTTAAATGGCTTTTGTGGGCCCCGTGTACAACTTTTAATCCTTTGCACTTTTGTCAATGTCAGAGACGAGATAGACTCAGATTTAGAATCCGCCCAATGACAAACAATACAAAAAGGTGCAGATGAAAGGACCTTCCGAACCCCTGATACCCTGGCCCTAGCAGGTCATTCAGATCTGTTTAGCATATTATTTTATAATTAATTAAGTAACTTTATCCATCCAAAGATCTATCTGTGTAAACACAGTTCTACTAATTTAGATTAAAACCCATTTAGTTGTCCACCTGTAGTACCCTTTTCCAAAAAAAAAAGGTCCAAATAAACGGGGAATCGCACTCTGTTTGGGAAATAGTTTTTCACCACAATGACATTTCTGTTTTCCGCACACGAAGGACTGCCAGGGCGGCCAGGACACGGGGAAGATGGCCAATAAAATTAATTGATTTTGAGGTTGCCTTTTTTTTTACAGCTGCTGGTGCTTCTCTTTTTTCTTTATTTTTTGTTGGTTATTTTGATTTCTGCTTCTGTGACAGTTGACCGCATTTGATTGGCATTGGTTGGTGAAATCCCGTAAAGAAATGGATTGGATTGGATTGGATTTAAGGTGACCCAGAGGACTACTAATTAGATTAGGTTCAAATTTACATGCTCAGTGAATGTGTATTTGTATTTTTGGAATAAAAGCCCATAAAATATGCCGCATAATTGGCGTATCGAAATACGGATTAATTTTTTACGTTTCGTTTTCCTCTCCATTGAGTCCTGTGCCGAAAAGGATGTGGACGGGGCCGGCGGAAACGAGCAATTGTAAGCGTAAACGTAAACGCTTTCAACGGTCCTCCTTTTGCATCTGGCATTGATTTCCATTTTCCATTTATATTAACAAGCATTTAAATGCAATGAAGTGAAATGTGAATCCCCCTACACGAACCTACAATATACTTTATAGTGGAATATCCTTATATATAAATATTTCTGTTCATGGCCTTTTGTTAAATTCGTTTTTATGGGTTGCCATAGTGGAGTGTAGATGGCATTTCATGGCTGATTTAACCCGGCTGCCTAACTGTTTCGTCTGGGGATTCTGGTCCTCAATCCTGTTCCTGCTCCGGCTCCTGCTCCTGTATTCTGGTTCTGATTCTGTTTCTGTTCCTGCTGCCGATTCTCCAGTTACTCCTGTTATTGCTGTTGTTATTCATTCGTTCACATTTTTTCATATGTCAGTGGCGTAAATGAAAACGCAAACGGGGCGTATGATTAATGTGGTTTACATATGAAAACGAGACTCTGTCCCAGGACTCCCTCGCACTGCTCACACTCGCACTGCTCTCTCTCATTCTCTGCGGCTGTCTCTTCCGGTTTCTGTTGCTGTTGTTGTTGGCAGTGCTTATTCAATAATTTATTGCTGGCAGCCTCAGCCACTTACAATGTCAGAAAAATATGCGCGAAATATGCATAAAAGTATTACATGCAGGCTTTTGTCAGCTGGGCGGTATGTCACGCCCTGTACTCTCAGTACCCCCTTACACCGCCACCACCGCCACTGTCCATCTGACCACCCCCTCTTAATCTTCAAGCCGAAAGTGAAAGCTTTAATAAATCACAAAGCCCGGGATTATCAATTAATAGGCTGTTAAGAACTTTACAGACCCGACGCAGCTGATAAGAAATCAAATTAAGTCGAATTAATACCGGAAGAGGGCAAAAGGTGATTGGGGTTTAATTCAATTAAACAATTTAAATGGGAAATAAACTAATAAACAAAGAGCTTCTTACAGAAATTGTACAATGTTAAACTCGATTTATAAGAGTAAAATATAATATGTCTCTTGATAGTTCAAGAACTTCATAAATCCAACTTATCAAACACATATTTTGCAGTAAACTGCCACAAATAAACAATTCATTATCTTTAATAAAAAATATAGTCACATGAATAATGTGAATACTCGATGAACTTGACCCGAAGCGTAGAGTGCGACAGTAGAGCCATATAATTTAAATTTTAATATTACTGATAATTAAAAATTGTGTAGGATTGAAAACATTGTTGCATATAAGAGGAACTACTGTATGAGGGCGATAAGTGCCCTCAGATAGTTTCAACATCCATTTTCCAAGATCCGTCAGTTCGAAATGAGTAGCCAGAAGATTGGGATCGTGGGCAGTGGCCTGATTGGAAGAGCCTGGGCCATGCTCTTTGCAGCCGCTGGGTATCGTGTCCAGATGTACGACATCCTGAATACCCAGCTGACTACAACCCTGCAGGAGCTCGAGAAAGAGCTGCATCGCCTAGAGGAGAAGGGCTCCCTCCGGGGAAAGATAAAAGCTGCCGAACAGTTTGCTCTCATCGAGGTCACCACAAAGCTAGAGGAGCTTGTTAAGGATGCCGTGTACATTCAGGAATGCGTGCCCGAAGTCCTGCAACTAAAGCAGTCACTCTACACCCAGTTGGATGATCTCTTGGATGACAAAACGGTGGTGGCCAGTTCCACGAGTACCTTTATGCCTTCTCGCTACAGCGAGGGTCTCAAGAGGAAAGAACAGGTGAGAGGGACTTATTAACTAATTAATTTGAAAACCTATAAAGCCCTTGTGTTTTAAATAGATGCTGGTGGCCCATCCTCTGAATCCTCCCTATTACATACCCTTGGTGGAGATCGTGCCCGCTCCCTGGACGTCCAAGGAGGCTGTGGATCGGACCAAAGCCCTGATGCTCAACATTGGCCAACGTCCTGTAACGCTAAACAGGGAGATCGAGGGCTTTGCCACCAACCGGATTCAGTACGCGATCCTCAACGAGGTCTGGCGCTTGGTAGGCTCGGGAATACTCACCGTGGCAGATGTGGATCGAGTGCTGAGCCAGGGACTGGGACTTCGTTATGGCCTACTGGGATCCCTAGAAACAGCTCATTTGAATGCTCCCGGAGGTGTGGCTGATTACTTTCAGCGCTTCGGCGGAGAAATCTCAGCTGTGAGTGCCACTTACGGAGCGACGCCCAATACTCGGGAGGATGCTGTGACCCTTGCGGAGATTGCCAGGCAGTGCGAAGAGCAGGTTCCCATCGAGACGTTGGGGGAGAGGAGAGCCGTCCGCGACGAATTCCTTACCCAGCTGGCCAAACTAAAGAAGCAGTTTGAATAGGAAATTAATTGCTGGATTTTGTGTTCTGCCCTCTGAATAAAGTGAGAATCAAGTAAATGGAACTGAGTCCCATTTCCTTCGCTTGTCCCACCTCCTTCATCCTTCGTCCTTCGCCTTTCATCTTACTCTGGTGGCGTCTCCAGTTTCGTGCATTAATGAAATTAATTTTTGCGGCAACCGGAAACGTTTTTCCAGGCGAAGCATTCAAGTACAACGTGTCACATTTCCGCTCCGGCATTAAGTTCTCGCCAGCAGCCCTCCCTCAGCAGCTTTTCTTAGTTTTTCCATTAGAATTTCCTGGCAAGTGTCTTTAACTCATTTTTCATTTGGGCCCTTTAGATTTTCTGGCTAAAAGCAGCTTGAAAAATCTAAATCTGAGCGTCGGATTTGTTTTCCCTAGAGGCTTTTCTGTAATGGATATTAAAAGATCTGTGTTTTAGGGGAGTTCTAGTTAGGTTACATAACTAATTTCAGAATAAAGAGCTCCGTGAAATACTGCACTTAATGCCTCTTAATTTAAATGCTCTCACAGTTGTCCTGAGAGCATATTTCAATGCCAAGTATTTAAAATGGCGGCCATGGCCATATAACAATTAAACAGGCATAATTTCCCACCAGCCTGCCTGGCTGGATGCTTCTCCTCCAGCGGGGCGTCCTGTCCTGTCCTGTCCTGTCTGGCTGGCGGCCCTGAAAATGGTTGATGTCCTGGCGGCGCTGGCGGGAGCGGCTAAAAACTGCAATGTCATTGTTGCGAGACGGCGGGCGGTGGACAAAAAGCATGTGGCTAGTAATTCATTACCCAGACCATCGACCAATGGAATGTCATAGTGTGCCTGGTGTGGGTGCCAAAAAAGGATAACGGAAAGGAAAGAGGTAGCAAAGCCGGCAGGACAATTGCACATGGCGCTGGCGGGCAATGCCATTTAATGTGCAAACAAAAGGCGTTGACAAAAAATTACAGCCATATCGAGGGGGCTGGCAAAAAAAAAATGCGACAAAAAGGATGTTGGCCAATATTATGAGGTATGCGACCGGGTATTTGTAAAGTGCAGACACAGCGTACAATGGCGGCCCCCCCTGCTGCACTGGCGATGCTAAAAGTTAAAATAACGAACGATAATTAATGGAATGGCAACATAAAACAGGCAACAATTCAATGTCCTGCAAACGATTTTTCTCTACTTTTGGCTTACTTCTTGTTTTTTTTTTTCTCTCATCCTGATCCAGACGTTAGGAGTGTTTATTGAACCCGGTGCGAATGTGTGTGTGGGAAGCAGAAAGAGCGGCAGAGAAAATGGCGTTAAAGCGGAAGGACGCCATGTGTCGGGGAGGAGACCGGAAATGCATTGTTTTATGCCCAATTTCATTTGTGTGTGTCTTTTTTTTTTTTGAACAATGGCGTGGAATAAAGGCAATGAGTAGATGGATGCATGTAATTAACGCCGCTGCAGTCACAGCAATTAATTTAATGTATTCAGTGTCAGCTCCAATGGGTTGGGCTGAAAGTACATTGTAAGGGAAATGGATTAGGGAAGCATTTGCTCCTCTTGCAATCAAGATTTTACACCACCAGACCACTAATTAAATCCCGGACAACAAAGAAAAACTTCCATTAATTTTGTCCCACCTTACCTACGTAAAAAAAAAACAAATAGTCCTGCAGACAAAGAAATAAAAATTTTTCAATGCGAACGACATTTGTTCTTGTTAGGCGAGTTGTTAACAATCGATTGGACGTGTTCTTTTGGACCTTCGGGGGCACCACAGCGGTGGAAGTGGCAACAAATAAGGGGCCATGTTTTATGGCCTAGGGTCCGGGCTAGGGCCACGCCTTCGTCCAGTAGACAGATAGAAGCCGGCCATAATAAATCATTCCATAAAACATTTACGCCTCACAGCGCACAAAGTTGATCCGAAACGAAACCGAACGGACAGAACTTAACTGAACCGATTCAATTCGATCCTATTCGATTCGATTTGATTCATTACATTCAAAGTATGTGAGGGACACATGCAGGACGATAAATAAATAATCAGTTTCTGGGGGGCAAAGAATGAAGATGTCAAGGATTTGGGATAGAAGAGGGATTGTTAAATCATCAGTTAACCTCTTTCATTTATCATTGGCGGGGAATTGAGGAATCAAGGCAAAAACAATTCGTAGGATTCATTTAATTCGTATATTTCAGCTCAACAAACCTCCACAAACAATAGCAAACAGCGGCAAACAATCGCCAGAATCTTGAGCTGTCTGGAAGGCAATTTCCACGTTTTTCCTGCCTCCCGCTGACATATATCCTGATCGACCTCAGTGGCGCTTTTTGCACCGCCGCAAATTCAATTTGCTTTATTGATAACCCACAATGGACACACAATAAATACATCAGGCACCAGATCAAAAGTTCTTCCCGCAAAGGAGCCGAAATAAAGATGCCCTTCACAGGATACAGCGCACACAATGGCATTCACTTAGGACTCGGTAGGGCCAGTTCCGAGTAAAAGGGCATCGCACTTTTTATTTTTGAGAAGCTTTCTAAAGAAACTGGCCAAACAGTTTTCCTTTCCTAATCTCAGACTGTTTGTTTGTGGCATTTGTTGTGGTCAGCCAATAAATCAGAGCCTTGGAAATAATTTATGTCCTGCCCTGGAATTTTCATTTATCTGTCGAACGTATTGTTATTATTTGGGAGTTACCAGTCGGGGGCTACCCTGTGGGTGGGTGGGTCTCAAGAGCTAAACTTCATTATGACAAATTTGTGTGTTCAAGAAAATGAATGTCCTCGGGCTGCAAGGAAACCCTCAAAGTTGCTGCATTATTAAATCGCTTTAAAGGATTGGCTGCAGCAAGGGCTACACTAACAGTTCGCTATTCTCCTCGCCGGCTCGTCACGTCCGAGTTCTGGGATGGGGGCCGGCCCTTTGGTCGTCAGCGTTTTTGTAACTCCTCTGGAGTTTTTTGTGTCTGGAACGGCGGTCAAAACCGCAGACGCTTCGGAGGCGGACGATGGGCAAATTGTTTGGCCAACACAAAGTTTATTTAATTTCTCACAGAATGGAGATCTACGTGCCCCCTTTTTGACTTTGTTGATTAAAACAAATTGCGTCCTGTCTCAACTGCGCCGGCAAACGTCAGACTGCCAAGGACTTGGAAATTGGGTGGACGAAGGAGTAGCATTGGGCGGAATGGAAAATAGAATAGCAAACAGATGCTTTCAGTGCGAGGACCTATCAAAGGGGTTCTCTGGGCTCTCCCAGATCAGTTTATTACTTGATCCTGTCTAGACTACAAAAGCCGGGCTATCAAAATGCAGCTGCAGGACTTTAAAATTTCGCAGCTCCCTTTGTGCAGTATTTTTGCCTGTTTTATGAGTTCCTAGTTTGTTTATCCCTGCTAGCTAGTCTTCATTTTTTCAGCTGATGACGCAGTTTTTATCTAATTAGTCCTGCAGCGAATTCTCGTTGATTTTCGCATTCAGATTTCGTATTTGCTCGCCCATTCTGTTTTTTTAAGTCAAATTTGCGAGCAATTGTCATAACTCTAATGCAATTAACCCTTGCCCACCCAGCAGGACTTATCAGATAAAGACGAAAACTGAAAACAGGACCCTGTGGATGTGCAGGACTGAGTGGGAGTTGAGTAAATACAGCCATGGAGTAAACCTAAATATTTAATTAGGATTATAACGAAGCGAGCTTATCGCGGATGCCGGCAGCATCGCATCAGAAAGTGATAGGAGGAGGATGGTAAGCGATGAATGTCAAAGAGTGTGTCCTGCGGGCAAGGGCTTCCTTCCTGCTCACAGGATAACAGGAAACTGCACGAGTATGCGACAAGTATGAGTGTGTGGTTGTGTTTGTGTTAGTGCGTCTGGCGTTTCACTTTTCGTTGACTTAATTTAATTAATTTCCTAGCCCAAAGGGTCCATCCTGTCATCCCGTCGTCCTGTCGTCCGTCCCACACCCACTCGTTTTCACTCTTCCACTCGAGTCGGGCGACTTCTTTTTTTTTTTTTTGTTGTTACGTATACGCCACGTTGCAGTCGAATAAAAGCCAGACCTACTTGATGCATGAACATATAGACACATATGCCTATCGATATACGATACTGTGTACTGCCGAGAGGACTCGAGGAGGAACAGGAGCCGAGGCAGGACTCAGGACGCAGCACCCACACATACCACGTGTGTAATATGCTGTAAATAATGAAAATCCAATTTTTGTTGCTTCTTTTTACCCTCGCCTGGACTGAACACCTGGAATGGGAATGTGTGCTGTGGGCGGCATAATGGGTTCATCACCATTGTGGCGGAAGGATGATTATGACCGGGCACGTAGGGTATCATTCCAAAGTTTGCGGGGGTCAAATAGATATAGATATGGGCATTAAGTCAATAAAGTTTTCAGCCTTTTGGTTGGCCAAGACTGAAAAAATCCAATTTGATTTGAACAACAGGTAGCAAAGATTCGTCAAAGGGTATTCCGCATTCTTGGCAAACTGAGTTTTCCTTTTTTTGATTCCTGATTGCATTACATTCCCAACTCCTCAGCCCCTGAGTCTCAGCTACCCAGATCGTCCTTTTCGTCTGCGTGGCGCATTCCATTTGCCCTTTTTTTTTGTTGGTTGACTATGCCTGGAGATTTAATTTCGTTTTCCGTGCATTTTTTCTGCTCCCTTTCACTTCCTTTGCCTTGGCAGGCGGGAGTGGAAATAATCAAGTAATGAAACTTCACCGACCGAAACTTAAGGAAATTTGAGCCAGGCGAGCCTTGTATTTGGCCAAGGGACCGAAACATGTTGCTGTTTTCTTTGAGCCTTCTCACAAATTATGCAGAACATAACAAGTTTTCATCAATATTAATGATGGTCCGAAATGTGATTAAAATCAAGGAGATATACATAGAATACATACTACACTACAGATGGAGTACTGGGAACGGTACAACAAGGAGAAGAAAGAGAGACTACAACTGGGATTGGGGCGATTGGGGGGCTAACCACTTCTCTCAGCTCAGCTGCCGGAGCGGCAATCAAATTAAACTTGAAGTGATTTTCAATTGGAAATTCTCGTAGCGGGTCCCTGGCACACCGCAACACACTTAAGTGTATTCAAATTAAACTGACGCAGACCGATCCAACAACAATGCAGTGGCTTCGGCCAACAGTCATGACCGGAGATGAGTGCGTGAGCCGTAAAAACAATGGACGGCAGGTGGGTACTGTTGCTGACTTACAATCAATGTTAGTGGTGGTAACTATTAGTGTGCTACTGTTTCGTGTTTCCTATCTATCGTCCCATCACGCTATTATCGCTAGACCCCAAAGACGGAGTCCATCTTCATGATATCCCCCGTGTATCCCCAGACCCAAAGCCCATCAAGAAGTCGACTCTAGCGCCGCCTGTTTTACTGGACATTTTGCCTTGTAATGCGATTGTTGTTTGTTGCCATTGTTGGCATTCTTGCGATGGCTGTTGCCTCTGTTGTTGCTCGTCTTGCTCCTGTGGTTGTTGTAGGTGCTGCCTTGCTATCTGGTTGTCTATCTGCGTGTTTAGTTGTAGACCAAATGCTTGGCACTGGCAGTGGATGAGGCATGGGGCAGGAGACTGGAGGGCTGTCAACAAGCAGCAATGGCGTCAGCAATTGCGGATCTGCCACCCACTCCCACTCCCACTCCCATCCGAGCCAGGGCTTACCCGACTCTTTCCGTCTGCGGTCGTCCTTTCTTTTTGGCAACGTTTAGCGCGTGTGCAGGACGCGCGGTTTTTGAGCTGCTGCCTGCCGTTGATTAGATTGTCTGATACTTTAATAGGATTGTAAAAGCATGAACCACCCACGGATACACACTCATACATTTACATCCTGTGGTTCCTGTTGCTGTGTGGGTTAAACTGTTTAGTAGAGACACTAAAAAAACAAAATATGAAAAAAGGGGGTTCGTTCTTTTGGGCATCTCATTCCCACGAGCTTTACTCCTTCAGTACCTGCAGTTTTTGTAGTTTTTAAAACAATTTTTAATATTAAAGGTAGAAGATACATGTACATCCATACAACTCATAATTCCGTATCCTTCCATCTATCTGGCCAAACTAATTATTCAATTGTACAAAAGCCAGGGGAAATATTCGCAAAATGAGCAAAACACTTAAGCAGCTTAAGTACTCTGCCGGATACGCAGCTATCAACCGATTGGACCGAAATGTGGCACACGTCCTGGCCAACAAATAAACAGTTAAAGGCTTATATATTACATACGTACACACGCCCTGCCCTACGCTGCCATGCGGAGTGTCATGCAACATGACAGACTTCAGTCTCGGGGCCAATGGGGAGTTGGGCGAAATCTGTATTAAAATCGCATTATGTTCGCCTCACTTGACAGAGGGACAGCTAAGAAGAAAAAGAGGGGGGTCCGAAGAGGGTGCCGTGTCGGTATCGGTGGAAAAGTGCAGCTGCAGGAAAGTTGAGCACCGAGGAACCGAGGAAAAGGAAAATTTGCCAAATGTACTGTCAGGACAGCATTGCCCGGGCAAGTTTATAAACCGAACTCTTGGGCTTGAAGTGGGTTAAGAAGAGGTGGGGTACTGGGGGTCGGAAACTTGGGGGAGATGTTCGCCCTTCGCTTGGCTGCGAGCATTAACCTCAGAATGCATTTGCAGCTACAGGATCCCGGGGAGCCAGCCCAGAACCAGAACCAGGACCAGGACCTGGGCGGAAAATGCAGCCTGCAGTCCTGCCAGTAAAAATGAAAAGTTCTCCTTTGGCCAGAACAGCAATTGTGGTTTCTAATTGTTTGGGGTATTTTGCACTAACAATTGACCGCAACTATGCGTTGTAATTTCCAACTTTTTTCCTATGCTCTCGTGTCTGTTTCATCCTATTCTCCACAATTTTATTTCTACTTGCACGAAATGAGCAATGAACAAAAAATCAATAGATAGTTTCCAAGAACTTTTCATGAAATATGGTTGTAAGCAGGCTTATTAATTAACATTGATGGAAGACAATTTTTTGCCTTGAATTGAACTCTATTATGAATGAGTAGCTTATCAAACAATACAGCTCTACAATATTCTGAAAAATCCCCTTCAGATCACGCTCAGAAAAAATCCCCTTTAGAATATTACTGATAATGTCTTGAACCCCGATGCCATTTGGGAACCCCATTGTCGAGAGATTTCCTATATAAGCAATGGCTTGGCACAGAATGATCACAGTCTGTTTAAAAAATGCTACGGTTTTGGTTATCGCTGCTCATTCTGGCTTTTATTGGAGCTGGCATATCGGAGGCTAGGATGTGGAGACCTCCACCACCGCCTTCTAATCCACTAAATCCTTTCGATTTTCGTCCTTCACCATTTAATCCGCAACAACCTTTAGGTTAATAGCTCTAAATAAATGGATAAAAAGTTGATTAAGTTTTGTTTTATTTGAATAAATTTAAAAAATCCCCCGTAAGAAATCCTATTTTTCTCTCACACATTCCATTATTCTTAATAGCTTTCCCGAAACTGACAAAGAAGATATATTAAAGTGGTTTTTAATCATTCTCGTGGCGGTTGCCTTTTTGCCAAGGATATGGGTATGGAAAATAAATTAAAGGACGCCTTTCAGGACGTAAGCCGTGTGGCGCGAGTGCGGCATCAAGCTTACAGGACACAACCAGCAGCCAGCATCTAGCAGCTAGCAGCTATCAGAGTTTATTAAAAAAGGAGACGAACGAGGCTCTAAAATAAATTCATGTATGTATGGGGTAAAAAATGTGAAAAATGCGTTGCCTAGCTGATAAAGCCGTTTTGTTTGCCCACCCACATAGACCCGCTTAATGCAGATTTATGATTTTAATAACAGTTCCCACACACGAACGTACATTTTTTAAACCGCAAAGTGTTGAGCATATTAGGAAATTGTGGTCGTTTTTTGTGGTGATTTCGCTCACGCTTAAGCATCATCTTGCATCTGGTGGTTTTTTTATTTCATTCGAGCAGAACTTGTTAATTATGCAAATTTGTCTTCCAGGCAACGGCAGCTATGGCTTGCAGTTATTAGCCGAAAATCATCATCATCAGCGTAAACATCATCGTCACAGGCAACTGCAATCTCGATTTGCCAACTTTGCAGACTCTTGCCGCAGCAACAAACATTTTCAATTTACCTGCGACGCCAGGTGTGTGGCAGCGCGGCAGTGTTGGTGGCAAATTGTGGGCCAAGCTGGGTGGCAGATTGTGGCTATGCATTGCTATGGTGTGCCTGTGTGAGCTCAAAGCTCTGGAGCGGCGCCGCGGGCATTCCAACCTGGAACAAGGTGATGTGGCCAGGATGACGACGATGCTGCGAAATGCGGTTTGCAGTTAGCGTTGTTGCCGCTTTTGTTGCGGCTGTTACTGCTGATGAGGAAATTGTTTTGGAAATCACCTGAGAGAAGCGTAAGAAAGAAACCAGGAGAGGCTTAGGGGTTTCTTTTTTGTTTTACTATACGTGTGCCAAACATTTATTTTATTTCTTAAGCAAAAAAACTAACCAAACTAAATCGACACTAAAGACTCATAAAAGATAATATTTAAAGAGTCCCTTTTAAAAGTTTTCAATCACATCTCGACGAACACCTGACCGGGTAATGCGAGTCCTGTGTAACTTGCACATGCCACGATCGCTGTCATCATCCTCCAGGCACATCATCAAGTTCTGCGCAGCAGCTGCGGCAAAGTATCCGGCGGCAGGGTCTGTAGCAGGGCCAGGTAGTTGAGGAAGTCAGAGTAGCTGAACACCCGGCCAGGTACATTCGGATCGGAGTGATGGTACGGTGACAGGTCATGACATATGAACTTTCGAGCTTGGGGCACGGTCACGTGAAAGATCTCAGAAATCTCGCCAAACAACGACGTTCCATCATTGTGCTGCATCAGTATTTGAGCGAAACTATTGAAAGGACATGGGAGTGAATTGGTTTTCGCGGGGAATAGGATTACTAACCTAATCTCCTCCAGGCTCTTCTTCACCTCTGCTAGCTGAGTCACCCGATCCACTTGGTATTCTCCCCTCGGTGACTCCAACAACTTGACCAACTTTTTGGGCATCCTCAGCAGACGCACCTTTTCCAGGACCTCCGTAACGTGCTTCAGCCTGAATGGCCAATTGTGATTTAGCCATCGAATGGCGGCGTAAAAAACTTCACTCTCGCTGTTGACGGCAATTTCGTTCGAGGAGAGCATAAAACACAGGCTTTCGGGTTCTAGTTGCAGGAACTCCTTGCTGGACACGAAAGTAAGAAAGAAGCCCTGGATTCGCATCAGCAGGGGACAGTGCAGTTCCTTCAATTCCTTGAAGTGTAGGACCTCCTCGGCCACTTGATATGCGCCATGCTCACAGAATTCATCCGAATTCAGGCAAGTCCAGATTTGGTGAAGCAGCTCTTCGATTTTCAGGTGGTTGGCCACCGACAGAAGCTGTATGATCTCCGAGCGCTTTATAAGAATATCCTTGTCAGTCATCCAGCGATATAGGGTGATGAAGATGTCCGGGGACACCAGGTCCTCCGGTAGTTTCAAATCGAAGACATCCGGATTATTACGGAGAGAATCTATGTAGGCCATTAGAACCAGTCGCTGGCAGGGAAATGTGTATTCCCCGATCCTAACCAGGAAATCACAATGCTCTGAATTTTTCCAAAATTCATCAAGTGCCTCGACGATGTTCTTTTGCTTGGGCAACTTGAGATCCTTTTGCAGCGGCTCCAGTCGATGTTCGTTTCGATATTCCTTTAAACTAAGTTCAGGTAATTTGGGTTCCATGGGCAGGACATCACCACTGCCCATGTGGTCTACAAAATGAGATTCCATTTCTATATTCAATGAACAGAATTTTGAGTGTTGATTTTGTAATAGTAGAGAAATAGAAAGATATTCTGTGAAAAATATTCTACGAATGAGTAATATTATAAAATGAGTTTTTGAAAGTTAAAACAAAAGTTACGCAGTTTTCGCATTACGTAAGGGGTTTCTTATATAAGAAAGAGTCCTTAAAACTAGATATAAAGACTAAAGATTTTATTGTTAAACTGTTGAAAAGAAAAATCTTTTCCCTTTTTCAAAGAACTCTTCTTAGATTAAGTTTTATTGATCCTGGCAGTGACGCAGATTGTCGTTATCCTTGAATGGAAAATAGGAAATTCGAATAGACGCCTCTGCAATTAGCATGCATAACAATTCCAATTCCAATTCCAATAGCAATTCTCCTTTGGAGAAGAGAGAACAAAACCTGCTTAATCAGAGCATGTCTCGGTTGCTCTCGGAGTTTTCTTTGGGGGCTTTCACTTTTCCTTGGCCTGGCCCGGCCAATTAGACGCACAATGCGCCTCAAATTATGCAACACAGCGCGACAAATTCAATTTGCTATGCCTCCCTCTCCTTCTCCCTCCGCCATGTTTCTCTGGCTCCTTTTCCTTCCTTCACGCAGCTAAACACGTGACCAATAACAACAACAATAACAGCAACAGAGGCAACAACACAGGAGCCGAGAAAGAGAAAGCATAAGAGAAAAGTGTGATAGAGAGGGCAAACGCGACAGGGACACGTTGGAAATTGTGCTGAAAAATCCCAGGAGAAATTAGTTTGATTTATGTTGAGTTTCCGGTGCAAATAAATTGCCAAGTTTAGAGGCAACTTTGGACGCACTGCAGACGCATAATTGATTATGCGAGTGGCGTACAATCGGTGGGTTTGTGGGTGGTGTCTGGCGGGTGTGGTGGGTGTTGTATTGCCGCCGGGGCGTGGCAGGTGGGCAGCGATGACTGTACATTGTTGAAAGTTGAGTGAGCTTATTACGAGACAAGCTACTCGTCAAATTGACACCAGATTGTTTGGCATTATTGCTTTGGTCTGTGGGGGTGTGATAATCTTTCAGAAAAAAAAAAGAATTTCTGAAAGTAAATAGAACAGTGGTTCGGGGCTCATCAGAAACTATATATATTTAGGTGATATTTAGGCCAAAGTTCAGTGTCTGGGCCATAACTTTAAGCCAACTTGTTATTCATGGAATTGTGTTTTTCTTTTGTTATTCCGTCTACATTTTACCTCTACCACTCCTCTATAACCATTATATTTTATCGTTACCTGTTTGTTTAATAAACTTTTGTGCGATGCATTCGAAGCGCAACTAAAGTACTTAAATATTTTTTTATCGCCGGACTTTGTCAGTTCAAATTGTTGTCCGTTTGCCAAGTGAAATGGATAGAGAGCGAAGGGGGTGCCGGGGTGTTGGGCTGCTGGGGTGTGAAGGACGAGACAGGACTAGGAGGGGGCGTAAAGTTTGTCGCAAGCAAAGTTTTTGTTCGCAAATTGCAGTTTACTTGCTGCTTACTGCAACATCATAACTGCAGGCTGCAACAGAGGGCTGCTGGAGTCCTGGCAGTGTGGGCATTAGGTGGGCGTGGTCGAAATGCAAAATTCTATGTCCTTTTAAAGGGCTTACGGCACTTGACTTGAAACAGACCACAGAGATGCTGGTTAAATAGAGGGGCTTAATAATTTGAATATTACTTTAAGGCGCTAGTTTCTTTTGTGGAATTTTAATACATCTTTGAGCCCTATATTTGTATAGTCTCCATTTTATTTCAAGTACATTTTTTCTTACTGTGTAAGTTACTGGAAGTGCGGACCCAGAACTATGCGCCGCTGGCTTTGTGAGCTGCAAGTTTGCTTTGACATTTTGACATTGACAATGATGTATGTGCTGGCTTTGTTTGAGTGTATGCCCCGTCTGGAGGGGGCGGGTTGGGCGTGACTAAGCTCTGTCATTAAATATCGATTTGTTAGCTGCGACTTAATAGCTCCAACTTAAAGCCAAACAATTCAACTTTGCCTTCAAAAGCCTCGAAGGACTTTCAGCTGGAGCGTATTGCTCGCCCCGTTTCCTAGACATTTATTCCACTCGCTTTTGATGTCGTTTCAATGGTCTCTCCACAGTTTTATTAGTTTGCAATTTATGGCAGCAGTGAAAACGAAAATTGCCAGTGAATTTCATTCATTTATCATGCCGTTTTATAGCAGTAAGAGCCATAAACAATTTCCAGCGTTTTTTTTAGCGTCAAAAATTTGTGACGATAGGTAAATAAATTTCTTGTTTTTCCGTGATTGAATTGCGCCATTTTTCATGAAAGTTCAATGGCGAATATTTGGCTGAAATATCAGCTCATGTTTGACTAATTTCCCGATTTACCCGACTCCCACGGGCCATGCAATATAATTCCTCCTAAATTATTCAAAGCTCCTCGGAGTTAAAAACATTATACAGCGCCGGCGGTTGGAGGACTCCATTTGCTGTTTACCAGCGGCAATTTTAATTGTTTTATTTTAACATTTAAAACCAATTTATATTTATGAAATTTTCGTAAATTGGCAATGTCATAAAACGCACAATCCACACGCGCCATACACCCAACCGCCACAACAAAAACACGTTCTCACACACAGGCACTGCGGCCCTCAGGTCGTATACGCAACATTTCCCATTTAGCGTGACAAGCTTTCCCATCTCCATTCTGCATTCTCTGATTACCCATTCTCCAGGTTTCTCCCGGTTTTTCGCATTTTCCAGTTCCCAGTTGCCATTTGCGGCCCGCTGCCTTGTTATGTGGTAATTAAAATGACTCTTGGCCCATCTCCGCTGTGTTTTTGGACAGCTTTTTGCTGCCACTCAGCCGATGCCTCGTATGCGGAATGTCTGGCTAAATTATTAATTTACTATGGCCCGGCGAGTGTTGTTAATTAATTTGCATTCATACACTCTGGAATCGAGATTGGAGAAGAGCGCGGCGGGGGCGAATCCTTGAGCCTGCTGGAATGAGTGGCAATATAATGTCGAGCTGCCTCAATGAATCGCTTCAAATGATGGGCCAGTAAATCGCATTAACTTCGAATGGCTAACGATGGGGATGGTATAGGTATCAAATAATTTAATTAAAGAAAGAATAATGAAACGAAATCATAAAAATTTGTACAAATATAGATATTAGATCCAAATATTTGTCTTAATATTTTCCTCCTATCATAGCCCCATTTCCATCTCTAAGGATAGGATTTCCAGGCACTTTCCCAAACCAAAACCTACTTGCCACAATGTTGCAAGGTGCACACAAAGCTAGCCATCGTTGCACTGCGGCTTAGTCTCTCTCCACCACCCTCTCCGCTTTTGGCAAATTGTTTGCATTGTGGCAACGAGGCGTATGATTAATTTTAGCCCGAACCCTTTGTCGCAACATAAAAATGCCAGGAGAGTATGGCAAATAAAAACATATAATAAAAACAGTAAACATTTAATTGTCTGGCAAATATTTGGCCTTAGCCCCCTTTTGGGGCTTTCGAGTGCTCGGCAAATAGGCGCTGATGGAAAACTTTAATGGCAAAACTTTAGCATTTGGCTTATGGTTCGCTTACCACGTCTCTTATAGTCTCCACATCCCACTGACTACTGACTGCTGAGTCCTGAGTCCTGTCGCAGGCTGCATGCATTATCGGCATACGCTGCTCATATAACTTTGCTGGTTTAAAACTTTTGTGCCGCTTGACAAAATACAAGGAGCGGTGTATGCAAAAATCTTTAGTGAAGTATCGATTTTGCCAGCGGCTAAAAATTATTTACAAACGAATGAACTTTTCGAAGGAGGACAGCGCTCCCTTTGAGCTGCCTGTCTGCGGTTGAGTTTTGTTTGTCTGCCAGTTCGACGACAGTCCTTCCGGATGGCGGCCTGCGACGACTACAAAGGACATCTCTTGTCAGGCCCTCTGATATAGGCAGATACGAAAACTTTTTCGCATTTGGTGATTGGCAAAAAAATAATAATAAAGAGCCGAGAGTGGCTTGGAAATTGATGAGAGCACATTATTAAAATATAATGATGTATTATTAAAATAGAAAAAAAGAGAATCTGGCTGGCTGGGAAAAGTTTTTGCCGCTTCATGAATTAGTTATTTAACATTTTACCCTTTTTCGCTTTAAGCATTAATCTAGCTGGCTTGCATTTTCGTTGCCTACTTCTTTTGTCTGGGATCAAAGTTTCGGTGGAAAGTAATTTAAACTTTTGCTTTTGCCCGCCCGGCTATACATTTTCCATTCAGCTCGAACTGAGGCGTTCGTTCCACTCAATAAACGCTAGACTCGAATTTTGTTTAACACTTTTCGCCTATTGGCATGGTGAAATAAGGATAATAAAAAACTCCGGCAGGGGAGGTCCTTTGATTGTCTTTTGCATAAGCTGCTTAGGTGCTTTACTTTGATTTCGGATTTCAGTGTGTTTGTTTGGATTTGTTTGGGGAAGGCAAGTTGGTGTGCCGAGCTGTAAACTGGAGTTTATTTGATGTAAGTAAGTAATAGAAATGGCAGAATGCCAACGACGTCTGCTTACATTTTTTATGCCAGACTATTTCAAATTTGATTGCCAGACAAGCGTTGGGGGTGCCCTCTCCTGTTCAATAATTAAACGACTTTGCCAGGCGGGGTGGCAGGACATAAATCAAGCTGCCATAACTTCCTGAAAATATCGAAAGTCCATTAAAAGTCCAGCTAGGATGGCAGGCACCTTTGTCTAGTTTTTTGTAGCAGTAGTTGTACTAGTACTGGTACTAGGATGTGCGTTCGGGTACACGTCCTGTCTGCATCTGATAAATGCCTTCGAAAAACAGGTTTAATTAAAATACACACCCAGGTGCCGGTCGGCGCTTAGACGTCAATGGCCATCGATGGGCTTGTTGATTTTTCAGCACAATCGAGGCGTAAGCATAACAAATAGCAAAGCAACTGCCAGAACACACCCCAACGCCAGGACACACACATCCTGCCCCGTCGTCGTGCTGTAGTTTTGTGTGTTGACAGTGACGCTGTTGTTTGTTTACTTTGACATGTTGCTCAAATTGCGAATGTATTAGTATTTGCCGTCCTGTA